ACCGAATAAAGACTTTTTTACGTACGAATTTGGCTGGAAGATTTTAATCGCTTTTTGGCTCGCTTTTGCACGGTGAACATACACACATAAACCCTAAGAGCTTTATTGCGACTTATTATTTGATGCTAAGTGAATAATTGCGATAAAATTTGGCCGAGATTTTCATAACAATATCTAAATTTCAAAACGAAATTGACAATACAAATTTTACTAGAATATTAAAAGGATACCTTGTCTCTTGACGGATAACAGAGCACAAATGTTCCTGGGTTTGATGGCAAGCGGGATGAAAAACGACATCTCCAGTTAAACTGACGACGTTCAATGAACCCAAGATATCAACAATTGATGAATGACATGATTTACGAATGCTGGGTTTTTCACTATCAACGAAACGCAACACGTGACGATATATATGACGGATGGATTCGGTTGACCAGGAGTCATACGACTGAGCCCGTAAAAGTTTACCGAGGCACGTTAAGACCTACAGATTTGACAAAACGATTTTAAGCATTACGGATTTAATGAGACAAGCATCAGTGCTGATATTGTGGGAAGACAAAAGTTTGATAAGTGTTTTTGCAGCCTCTCCACATGTTTTGCGCAACAGTGAATCCTGGACACTAAAGACTGTGAGATAGGTGACAAACTTACGACTTGCACATGACTAGCTTTAGTAAATAAGCAACAGCCACTTTTTCAGAGGACTCATTGATAAGAGTCAACTAGAATCATGAACTATTACTTATTATCAAATATTACTAACCAAGGCGGCATAGTACTCTGTGGGCGATTCCTTCCCACCGTTATCTTTGATTGTCTTAGTAACAGCTGCAAGTACAGACAGCACATCTCTATGCATTGAGGTATTAGGCCATGGTCGATTTAATGCAGTTTGAAATGTTGGATTGGTGCATTCCGTAGCAGCTGATGCCCATGATACAAAGGAAACATCCGAAATAGCACTGGCCATGTGTGCAACACGTACTACCTTGAAAAATACTCATCAAAGCGTTCAATATCCAAAAAACTTAACTAGTACCTTTCGCACAATCAAGTGCCGTTTTATCAGCCATATTGACATATAACTTATCTAATATGGATTTGGTTGTCAGAAAGTAAGGATGAAACAACAAATTTACGTGCAAGTTACGAACGGGAGGTATTGTCCGAATGTGATTTGTATTTCTCGAAATTGGCTGTATCCTTACGCAACAAAAGTACCTTTTTCATCCAAATAATCTATCCTGAGCTTTGTGTTCGGTAGATTGCTTCCCTTATGAATTTTATGTGAACGAATATTTAACTGTAGTTTTGCATCAGGTTACAACAAAATTTGTGGTTCAGATTTGTATACTGAATTGTTTTCTGGTTAGCGTTTTACATAATTCAGTATACAAACCTGAATGAAAAATTGATGTAAGCCGATGCAAAACTACAGTTAACTATTCATCCGGATAAAACAGAAAGAAGGACTCCATGGACGCCCAGCTTCGAGACCAGCAGGCTGGATTCCGAAAGGATTGATCGTGTACTGACTGAATCGCAACACCTTGGGTCACCATGAAACAATCTATTGAATGGATTTCATCACTCGACACCGAATTCATTGTCTATGGGAACGGATTTGATAGCGTGGAAAGGACAACACTATTGAAGCTTCTTCGACACCACGGCGTGCCAGAGGGACAGTCAATATCATAGAGAATTCCATTAATGGATTAAACTGCAAAATCGTGCATGGAGGACAGCTCACGGACTCGTTCGAAGTAAAGACCAGTGTCAGACAAGGTTGCTTCCCCTTACCATTTCTCTTTCTCCTGGTGATCGATCGGATCATCAAGAAGTCAAAATCTGAGGGAAAGCGTGAGATACAGTGGACATCTAGGATGCGGCTGGAAGATCTAGGCTTTTCGGATGATCTAGCTTTCTATCGCAATGTCAACAACAAATGCAAGAGAAGACGAACAGTGGAGCAGCAGCCTCAGCATCATTCGGGCTCGACATACACAAAGAGAAAAGCAAGATTCTCCGATGCAACACAGCATGCAAAAATTGAATCACACTTGATGGAGAAGATTTGGAGGATGTAAAAAGCGGTGGATGTGGATAGAACACATTTTGAGGAAGGCACCCAACCGCGTCACAAGTCAAGCCCCAACTCAGAATCCTGAAGGTCAAAGGAGGAGAGGAATGCCAAAAAACACATTACGCAGAGGAACGAAGGCAGATATGAAAAAAGTGAACAAAGATTAGATAGAACTGGAACAGAACAGAGAGGGTTGGAGAATGCCGGTCGGCGTCCTATGCTCCATTGTGGGACAACAGGCGTAGGTAATTAAGTAAGATTTGTATATTGTGGACAGAAGACCAACAGCCAATGTCAGCCCGCTCTCAAAAAGCTTCTGAGAGTGACTCGTCTTCTCTTGAATGAGTCAATTGATGGGTTGGACACCAATTCTTCAGGCAAAAGTTTTAAAGAATTAGAGACACAGTAAGAAAATTTATGTCACGGGTTTTTTGTTCGTTCTTGGCTTTTCTACTCCAAAGTCATTTCCTAGTATTATATACGTCAAAATCATATCATCTTTTATTCTAAGGTAAGATAGAGTAAAGAGGTATAGCTTTTCAATCCCTTTTTTATATGTTGCACCTGGTAGTACTGGAATCGCTCGGGTTGCTTCTCTCCGTACATTCCAAAGATATCCGAGGCCCCTTTTGAATGAGCGCTTGCAGCCTGAACTCGGTTTTCAAGTTTGGATCTTACTTAGGTTCTGTATACCGTAGTGAACACACTAGTAGCTAACTCAGTCATATCTGTCTTGAAGTTCATAAGGTCCCAAACCCCTTTGGTTGTCACCTCGCGGTAGCGATTAGCGATCTTAAGGCAACGGTCTTGTGGTATGTTACTAATTACTGGTCTTCAAGGGTAGCATTTGCAATCTATTTTTACTTTCGTCTATGATCTACCAAGAAATTCCTGGTACACATTAGGAGAGGTCTGGCGCTTCCTAAATTTTCCAATTTCAAAGATTGTTGAGAAGGGTACGATAAAAAAATTTCTGGTCGAAGTGGGGAAGGTACCCCAGGACATATGACCAGTAAATTCCTAATGTCTTACAGAGTTACCACCAATCCGGCAGTATCAGCTGCAAAGTCACCAGCTGAGTGTATGTTCGGATGGGAAATTCGGACAGTCTTTACTGGTATGTTTCCGCCCAGAAAGACAAAAAACCCACGAATGAGTATCGTTCGGCCACTCGCCGCTTCCATACTTGTTCGAAAGGGTTCTTGTCAAGGTAATAAAAAGTGAGAACTAGGTGTTATGGAAAGTCGTGAGGGAAATGAACTGTACTTATTTAAGAGAAATGTTGGAACATTTATGAAACAAATAAGTCAAATTCAACGGGACGACAGAACATTGATCATACAAGGCAGAATCCTGTTTCAGTTGCTCATGGATTCATCTCGAGAAAGCCTTAAGTAGTGCGAATGTAGAGATGTAGATGACGCATGGTCAAAGCGATACAACCTTCAAGAGCTATGGATTGCAAGTGGAATGCAGTAACCAAAATTCAGGTTGCTCAAAAGAAAAAGTTTTACACAACAGACTTTAAAGAGGCTAGGTGTGAGGACGGCCCACGGGTGAACTCGAGGAAGCTCTGAGAAGCACATGAAGAGCTGAATATATCCCATCCAGTCATCTTTTGGAATATTCCGGAATCCTTATGCGGAGCTTACATATCGCACAAATGATAATAACCCTCTGTATGCGGATCGTAGGACTGTAGTTATGGTTTCGTTTCTACTAAAAATATAAATACCTGACAGTTATGTACAACAAATTACTCTGTTTAGAATGGCATTCCTTTGAGTTGTCTTCTGTCTTATCATTTCGACTTAGGCGGGTTCTAGCTTTCGAGCGTTCAAATTATACGTGATACATTGATAATCCAAGGTCTAGATAGAACAATTACCGAGATATAAATGAGACAAAAATAAATTTAACACGAAAAACTTACAATAAAAATATCTGTAACGTACATCAAAGACCAAGATAATGTTATTAATCTATCAATTCTAATTTACATACAGTGCATAGAACTGGACTTCTGTCCTTCAATCAAGGGCTCGCCGCTTATTGAACCGTTATTTATCGGTCGTTCGATATACATCAAAATATTTAAGGTCGACTATAACAGTTTATTGCCTTTCGAGCTAACAGAAGAATCCTAAAATCCTCGATTCGTCAGAAGGATAAACTATTAGTGAGATTATGAAAGATTTTAGCTCAGTACAAGCGCTGAACAATTGTTAGATATGTAGTTAACCTATGGTTTGATCATCAAAATCAGAAAGCAGTATAAGTTGGTCTTACCTTTTTACTACACAACATAGAGCGAAAGTGAAACGAGCAACATTGCTACTCAAAATGCGTCAGTATTTCATTGTTTAGTAAGGAGAAATGATTAAACTTACGTTTACACAAGAAAGGGGAGTAAATATCTATCTCATATAAAACGTTTAAGTGTCAACTGGAGTTTATTGGCTGATTTTGAATATTTTGACTCCATTTGTCACTACATCACCCAGAGTAGACGTCAAGTGATAAATATCATGTAAGAGATAAAGACCTGGTGTGATCCTTATTAATTCCCTGACAATAACCTGAAGGGTTCTAGTGAATAATGCACTGGGTAGATTTTATGTAAATGGGGAAAACTATGGAGTAATTGAGAGGCAGATCATCCAAAAGTTATTTATTGACTGAATGCTTTCTTTTTCTTTCTTTGTTTCTGATGTCATGACACTCCTGCCTCTAAAAATACGATTTGTCTATTGGTGTAACACTTCTGACCATGTATATCAACTTTGAATTCACTTTGTTTAGTTCGAGATACCAGATGAACATCGGTTGAACTTACAGTCAGTAAGCTTATAAGACACAACTGATAATTTCTAAGTAATAATTTATTAAAAAATAATGGTTGTGTTTAGGCAAACAAACATGATTTCTTCAAATGAATAAGATATTAGATTTTGACCTTGATCTAAGTAATAACCCATTATGCACATTTCTGAATTTCAGAGGAAATGAAAATATTTAGAAGTCTGGTATGTTTGGTCTTTGTTGACCAGTAAACTTTCAGAGAAGGAAATGCTTTGAGACTGACGATGTAAATGTCGGCGATTTGGTGGTTAAGACCAGACAGAAACATGTAAGCGCATCATAATCATTCTTGATCAAGTAATTCGAATTACACTGTAGCGTCTAATGGCAGTTATATTCGAGGAAATAAATAATCTGGTCGTCCTAAATAAAAGTAAGCGCTTAGCGTTTTGGCGGGATATTTTATTATCTGGTGAACAAATTATTTATGAGATATCGTTCTAACCCACTCTCCCGAGTTTGGGGAAATTTAGGGGAAATCCTCAAGGTCAAATGACCTTCACCAAGGTTGAAGAGAAATTTTGGGGAAATATCGGGCTTTTGGTGACATTTCACCGAAAGTCCTTCGGAGTTTCTATGGCGGCTTCCCCGAAATTGGGATATTGGGAAAACAATTGTTCAAATGTTTTTTACAATTCACCCATATTTGAAGGATAATATAAAAATAATGGCATTAAAAGTGCTCGTTTTTGCGCTCATTTAAAGCATTTTTTAAACGTGTGTTGACGCCGAATTTAATAAAAACGAGTCAGTTGTGAATTTCTAATCGTAATCTGAGTATATGTTTATATTGACAAATGCAGCGAGTCATTTTTTTGATTGAATAAAGAATCTGTTAATATCATTGCACTTTGAAATGATGCTTGTAACTATTCCTATCTGTAAAATTGTATGTTTCAACTCCAGCTTGTTGTTTATGAAGTTCTGATAGTTGTTCGTAACTAACGATACTATTCCGACCTTAAAAAGTATTCATATAGTCCGGATGGTTTTTGACGGAATTAAAGAAGCTCCCACCTAACGATCCTTCGTATCTAGTAACAGTGGATCACCGATACCTCTAGGTAGAGACCTAGCCATATTAACGATAAAAGAGGAAAAAGGAAAAAATGTTGGTATATCATAGTAAGATACTGTCCTTAGTCCCCAAGAATATCTCAAGTTTTCCCTTAAAGGACTCCCAGGAAGTTGTTTGAACTAGCTCGACTGGTGGCGAGCTCCAGCATTTGCCTCTCCTTAAGGAGTAGAAGGTGTGTCTACAGTCCGTTCTGCTTTGTCGTGTCTTCAGTTTCTGGGTGTGACCCTTAAGGTTTGTTTTAGGACTAAGCTTAATTAGTTGTTTGAGGGGATGTTCAGAAGTGCTAAGGATGCTGTAAGCCATTGGACAGTCACTTTTAAGACGCCGGTACTATGGTGGGTAAAGGTTCAGTGATTGAAGGCGCTTTTCATAAGGCTTAAATTTAAGTCCCCGAACTGATTTCATGGCTCGCTATTGAATACGTTTCAAAGTGTCCTTATATTTTTGAACTGAGAGGAAAATGATGTGTTTGCGTACTCTAAATGGGACGAATAACACCGTTGAAGATTACACGGGGAGTTTTTCTTTAAAACTGGCCAAAAATGAGCTTCAACCTTACAAGTGCAAGGTTCGCTCTGAAGGCATTTTCGTCGCAATTAGCGTAAGACTTCAAATCATAGGGTACTAACACTTCTAGATTTTTTAAATCTTGGGATACCTTTAGAGGAGATTCACTTAAACTGTAATTGTTATCCGCAACATGTCTCAGGTGTATTACTTTACACTTTGAACTGTTAAAAGTAAATCTGAACCTTCCCCAAACCGTGCTGTTGGAGTGAAAAAAGTTTGTGAATAATAAATAGTCGTATATACCGTCGCATATCAGGGACTCCATATTTTTTGAGGGTATAGAGAGAAGTGCTATCGGTCTGTAGCTTGGAAGTTTTCCTGCGTCGACCTCCTCTGAAAATTGGTGTGATGTGAGCCAGCTCCCGATTGTCTGATAATGTGTCTCACCTTAGTTAATGCGAGGACATCACGCTAAGAGGTGTTGCCATGATTGAAGCTGCTTTCCTCATAATATATCAGAATAGACCATATCCGGAACAGGAAAAGCGTGCTTTGCTTAGGTGCTAAAGTTTCCGGCACAGCCATTCAGCGCTCAGGTTCACTTCTGAAAGTTCTGTGGAGTTGCAGGTGAAGCTTTCATCAGTATAGTTAGTGTGGGTCGGTTGAAGTATCTGAGAGTACTGTTCTTCCAGGTCAGCGGCGTCAACTTCGTAGTTGGTCGAGCCACTAGAACCTAAAAGTCGAGAAACTTCGGTTTTGGCTTGTCTAAGAGAGGGTGCATGACGAAATAAGCTTTTCGGATTGGAGACAAACTTATCGGTAAGCTTTAGCCGGTACTGGAGCCTGTCTTCTCTTATTGCCTTTGTGCATATATTCCTTATTTGCTTGAATTGCCTGTGTGCGCTGTTGTTACCAGTTCGTTTGTATTCCGCCCAGCAGTGCATTTTGTGGATTAGCTAATGAAGAGTGTTGTTCTTGATGACTGTACGTTGCATTTAGACTTTAGGGACAGTTAGAAGAAGACTACTTTGTAGCACATAAGGTATTGTGCAGCGAAAAATCCGAAGGAGCGTCCATATCAAGCTGAAAGTGAACTTCCCAGTCCACGTGCTGTAGATTGTCCTGTAAATCTGACATCCCTGGTATTGCTAACTCCTGGTCCGTAAATTGAGAATATATCTGTGTTTCAGATATTCCTATCAGATGAGTATTATTAGCATTGCTGAGTTCACGTTGCTCATCCATTTTATTCGATAATCTCGTGGTGTTCATATATAGGAAGTTTATGCTTTAACTTTTAATCATGTGAGCTTCCCCGTACTGTTTATCTGTATGAGCCTTATGTGAATGGACAGGTTATCTACCTACACAGGGTTTCCTGAGTTGGTAGCTCCTGTCCTTTCTACGTTTTTTCATGATCTCGACAGTTCATAAGTGGCAGAGTCAGCTCCAATGTGCCTTTGTGCTTGATTCTGGCATCATTTGGCCTATCCGGACACATATGGATTCTAGTTGGCAACTGGCGTTTGTTGGAACAAAATGCTTCGAAAGTTGCAGCCACCATATGGGAGAATGGAAATGTTATCTTCATCAGCAGAGGTCTATAATATCCCTCCTTCTTAGCTAGCCTCACCAATTGTCGAGTCAATTGTTTTTTTGAGCTTCAAGTACTGATTGATGAATTTCCGTTCTCGAATATCAGAGTTTATGTGGGTAGGGTCCGCGTTTTTTGGGAAACTTTGCACACTGATATTTCTTCCGCGAGAAAACGTCTAGCGAGATTCGCTAATAATTTTTCTGATGATATTTCGCCCAGAATATGGTACATCAGGCAGTATTCTTACATTCCCATGTGATCTCAATAAGTTACTAGCCAGTAAGTCATCTCCTACATCGGTAGCGTTAGTGAGCATTACAAAAAGTAGAATTGGGTGGTTTCGATGCTTGAAGTCCTTCCCTCGAGTGATCCGTGTGACCGTTAAAGACCCTATTTTGAGATGTTCGGGCCCCTATTTCACTTCCCAGAGCATCCTGTCATTTTTTGTCCCGAAGACTAAGGGGAAGGTCACAGCTGCCTTTATGGTTCATGATTATGAGAGAATCATCGTAAACCGCGGTCGTTTTCGTAGACGATGACACTTGGTTCATTACAACATTGTTGATAGGATCCAATCGCCTACAGAGTTTTCGGGGACCACCGTTGCATACAGGAATTCTATACTGGGGGACCCAACTTTGCTTAGGGAGTCTAGTACCGTCGATGTTACGATGATGATGAGCTTCGGCACGTCCTCACTAGTTTTAATGCATGTTCCGTCGATACTGGAGTTGTCGAGGTCCCTCTTCTTTTATTGACTGCTCGTCTTTGTTTGTTTACCCGTTTTAGGACTACCTTTTTCAGGTTTGCCGACCCGTTAAGAGGATGATGATGTTGCTCTAAAAATTCTCAGCATTCATGTTGCATGTGCCACATACTCACCTACGATCCAACCTATTAAGTCTGTTGTAAACAGGTACTGTAGTACCTGTGCATGCTTCTTGGAACCAACCTTCGCATTTGTCACACTGCATGCCAGAGGTAACAGAAAAACGGCGTCCGTTTGCTTGCACGAATTCTTCATAATTATAGTAATGTGAAATGTTTAATGGATCCTAGCAAAAGTCCACGGTCGTAAAACAACATAAAGTACCCTCAAAACAGTTAAAATGGATAAAAAGGGACAAAGAAAAAGATTGAGAAATGCAATTCACACCACGACTAAGCTTCCCGTCTGTAAAGCGCATGCGTACTGTTTTCGGTCCGTACTTTTATGCATGCAACTGAAATCTGCTCTATTAAATGTATGGTCAATAGACATTCTTGAGCACAGCTATTAGTGGTCTATGAATTGGATAACCGTCCATTAAAATTTTATGGTTTGTTTATGTTTTGTCACTAAACCTTTAAGATTCAGTGCCACAAATGTTTTTATTAGTTTTATTACAACTGAGAAGTCTAGCTGTTGAATAAGTTACACTGGGATTTGTCAGAAAAATTGTCATTTCAGTTGTACTGAGTTACTATGAAAATATCGGTGAGACTTTGATTTGCGGACGACCTTTGACTGACGCCAACGTGACCCTGATTATGTCCATCTAGTTATTAGGGTTAAATGAGGGTTTTAAACCAGTGTGAGGATCTAGGATTATGATTTATAGTCGATGGCTAGAGTTATGAGTTATACTTTGGTTTTTATTACGAACTGACATAAGCCATAGTGTCAAAACTCTACTTACCCAAGTGGACGGATGGATTTCGCTCCAAAATTCAAGACCTGTTATCATAAATCTGATTGGTTCTTCTGTGAATTACAGTCCTGTCAAAATATCTATTTTTATCATTTTAGCTTGAAAACCAATTATCCTAGTTATTTTTCGTTACGATCACATGATACAAAGACAGCTCAAAACGTCACATTTGATTCTGAAACATGTCTAACTGTCAGGTATAATCTATAACACTTTCATAATTTTGAATGTGGAAACCATGGGATTGGTGTACCACAAGTTTTTGAACATCATCATTCATCGATAGTAATAATTTTAAAGAATACATAGCTTCAAAATATCTTAAGAAGTTTATGTTAGTCCTTAAGCCGTTATTTAAACTTTGGGAATAATCAAAAAGGTTTAAATAAATATGTCCTAGATACAATGAAGAAATATCAAACTGTCTCAAGGTATGGAGTCAGATTTACCATTATTTTGTGTAATAAGAGTGATATCATGAAAAATGAATTATGTCCTACGAACAACAACCACCGTCACTTCTGGAATAACAGCAAAATAATGACATAAAATCATATCAATCTAAAGGAAGCTATATGATTTACTGTCAGCATCAGTTAAACGGTCGGGACAAAATTTTTACCACATGTCTTGTAGTCGTTTAAAAAGTCAAATAAGTACGGTTTTTATAGGTTATATACTAAATGTTTTAGATTTTAATTTACGAGATCACTTCTCCCTTCATCATTCAAAACGTTTACTAACATAAAATAAGTTGAAAACCGAATATTCTTCCATAGTTTTTTTTCATGAATCCTACAGTTTTTAACCTCAGAATTCTTTTTCTCGATGATAAATGAGCCTTCTTTCCTTAGGAAAAATCTGTACAGGCAGGTGATTATTATATTCACGGACAAGGTATTTTAACTTATTAATACATCTTTGTACTTTATTTTAAAAAAGTCGACAGTTATCTTTGAACTCATATAATGTTCATTAAACAAATTTGGTAATGTGTCAATACTGCATATTTATCTAAGTGGCCTAACTTTTCTGCCTTATCAAATATTTGAAGTCATTTCATAAATCGTCTTGTGTATAAAATCGAGAGTGCATTAAAATATGTTGCATAAAGGGAAAATTTCTTCTGTTATTCTTGGTGCTAGTTACATTTTACAAACAATGATCAGGCTGTAACCAAACAATGGACAAAATGAATATTCTGTAATGCATACTTTTATGTTTTGTAAATTTACAAGTCGCATGTATTGCTAATAGCTAATGAAACCGCTCAGACCCATAATAAAATGGAATTAATAATACTAAAGTATTTCTTGTGAAGAAAAGGCACGTTAACCCAGACAAATTAATAATAATCCGTTATCACACTAAAAACAAATATATTTCACACGAATGAAACCATTTTTTAGTTTCTTTTTGGTTGCAAAGGGATGTATACAGGCTTAGTTTGGTAACACTATTTTAAATTCATTGTCATAAGGTAGGGTGATTAACTTTTTACTATCGGAAAAGTGAATTCATGGAAGTTTGATCAAACTGACCGGATATTCACAAATTATATCTGGATCGCAACTGTGAAAATTGCTTCACAATCCAAAAGTAATCTTTACATAACATTAAAGGATTGTATGTATTTATGAGTCGTACTTCATTCATTTTATTTTAATACCCTTAATGTTTATTAACTGCTGTGCCTTTCATTATCAGTTTAAATATTTTTAATAAAAGATAATTATCCGAGCTTTATAGCTTACGTAATTTTGACTTCACAAGTACTTAATTTACTCGATTAGTTTCCATTAATAGTATGTAAATACTTGAACACCTACTTGAATTAAGTATAAGTGAGATTTATTACTATTTACTTCGATAGTAAACATGTACAAAGAATGACTATTTAAGTGAGATTATATAAAACAATAAAAAGACCATGGATTCTTGAAAAGCATTACAACGAATAAACAACATTTTTTATTATTTCTGTGTTATCATCAGTTAGTATGCACTAAAAATAAATCAATAATAATACATACCTTTGTTTTTTCTCTAAATTTAAAACAACTTGTTTACTCAATTCCAAACTATTTTTGTTTTGTTTAAAGAGTCGACAGATTCAATAAGTGAAGTGTTAAAATCACTTCTTCATTATCTCAATTCCAATACAACAGGTAGTATAATATTTCCTTTAATACATGTAAGTTGATATTACTAAACAAGTTATTACTATTATTATTATTATTATTATCACTACTAGTAATAATAACTGGAAGTTAATTAGAGAATTAGTCAAAATCATAATGTGCTGGGTATCTGTTTCACTATATGTGAATTTCACAGAAATATACAACTTTTAATTCTTTTGAATTCAGAGTTCGTATGACATTTCAAATTTTTTAATAAGTGAACTACATTGAATCGTTTAAAAAATATTGTTTAAATCCATCACCTCAGTATGATCGACACGATCACATTTCTCATTTGAACTCTGAAAACTTCATTTGTTTTAAGTTACTAAACAAAGGAAGTTATTTATGATTATTTGGAAATCTATGATTTTCAATTCAATTTTAGTACAAATAGTCATTAATAAAAAAAATTGAAATTCTTCCCATTTATCAATAGTTCTGTAGCTGAGACTATTTCTTCATGAATAGTACTTTTAAACCAATAAAAGTCTCTTCTTTGTCTCTAAAGAAATAATTCATGAACAGTATTAGGACTGATAATTATATAAACAACTGATTTATTGAGTTCATTTATTGACTGATTCGCTTATTATTTATAAGATCAATGATCTACTGTTTAGCCCACTATACGATGACCGTGAATATCCTAACAACCACTAGTCCAATAACCAAACAGAAAACAAATATAGGAGGTTGATAAAACTTCTGTTGTACAGTTCACCTATAACTCGAAATCATATGGTAGAACGGAACAAATGGCTGACAGCAAACACAAATAGAAAAATACAACACGTACATTCCTACGCCATAAGTCAAGAATAACTGAATAAAAGATCCACTGTAAATGAAAAAAAAACTTAGAGGAAGGAAAATATATAGCAACATTTTGCGCATTAACTGAAAGCTTACAATACGGGAAACATAACAATACAACAGTCCAAATATAGACAATAACTCCCAACAAAATAATTCTAGATGTTTAAACTTTCGCAAATCTGATCTGATATACTACTTTGTGCAGTTTAAAAATCCCCATAGAATATTCGAAAAATGAAGAATATTTGAGCGAACAATTGTTTTCAATAACTTCATCATCAGGCTCTACAGTTATAAGCAACAAGCACTACACAAATAGCATATTGACAGATAAACATCGTGAGGCTATCAGTAAACTCAAGTTGAATGAACACATTCTTATCACTAAACCTGATAAACGATTGGGCACGGTAATTCTAAACAAGACAGATTACATAGATAAGATGAATTCCCTACTGAATGATCAAACTAAACATCAAAAGCTTGGGTCATGTAAAGACCTCAATGAAAAGACCGAACGTCAACTAACTACAGCATTAAAATTACTAAAACACCATCAGTACATCTCTGAGCATACGTATAATACGCTCAAGCCTTCTGGAACACATACCCCTCGACTATATGGTCTACCTAAGATTCACAAACCTGATGTTCCTTTACGCCCGATACTGGATATGGCAAATTCTCCATACCATTCAACAGCAAAATGGTTAGTTAAGTTATTAGAACCATTGCAACAAGAACTTGTTAAGTATAGTGTTAAAGATGTCTTTGAATTTGTTGATAGAATTAAAAATATGAATATAAATGGCAAAAACATGCTATCACTAGACATAACATCTTTGTTCACTAACATCCCTCTGACTGAAACTATCGATTACACATGTGAACAACTGCTAGAAAAGAAAATAGAGATACCAATCCCAGTTATTAAAATGAAAGAACTGTTGAAATGCACTATGAATATCCACTTTGAGTTCAACAATGAATTCTTCAGACAAGTTGATGGGGTAGCAATGGGATCACCTCTAGGCCCGATCCTTGCTAATATTTTTCTGACCAAACTAGAAAATGGACCGCTTAAAGACATCCTAAATAAGTTTGATTATTATTGTCGATACATAGATGACACACTAATCATATGTGACGAAAGTATCGACAAACAAGAGATGTTAGACGCTTTCAATAATGTCCACCCAGCCATTCAATTCACCAGCGAGGAGGAGAAAAACAATAGTATAGCTTTTTTGGATGTCCTACTTTCTAGAAGGATAGACGGTTCCATAAAGCGAAATATATTTAGAAAGAGTACATAGACGGGTCAGTATACCCATTTCCAAAGCTTCACACCTCTTCAATATAAAATAAATTTGGTTAAGTGTCTCAACCACAGAATCAAGTTATTATGTTCTGAAGACAGTGTGAATGACGAAACAGATGTACTAAGGAACACATTACGAAATAATGGCTATCCTGATAATTTCGTCAAAAAAATACCTCGTACAAAATACTAATAAAAATAGAAGATATTGCGACACAGTCAGTAAAAAGACCTTATATCTGAGACTTGACTTTAAAGGGGACATAGCGAGTGATATTCTAACACGTCGACTCAAAAGATCTGTCAAAAGGACGTTTCATGCCACTAAGTTACACATAATTTTCTCGACTAAACCAGTGCTCACACAACTAACAAAGGATAAGTTACCGAAGATGGGCTCCTCCATGTGTGTATACCAATTGAACTGCTCCTGTGGAGCTAGTTACATAGGCCGTACTCAGAGGGCTTTATCCTTGCGTGTTCGTGAACATGTACCAGCTTGGTTGGGAAAAGGAGTTACCAAATCGATTAACAGCACCATGCTTTCTCACTTGGTAGATAGTGAGCATCATATCAAAATAGAGGAAGCTTTCTCTGTTTTATATCAAGTTCCAAAATATCTACCTCAAGGAGCCAGATTACGACTGCTTTACATAGCCGAAGCCATTTGGATCAACTCCAGAAGACCTAATTTATGTATCCAGAAAGATATATCCAGCCTCTATGTTTACCGTGGCCTACCACTGGATCACCGAATACCTAGACTGAATATTATAAACCTCTTACCCCCTTCCTTTATTTCATTTATTTTCCTTATTGTCATTATTTTTGATTATCTCTATCTTAATCTTCACATTCATCATTCCTAATTCGTTGCTCGTAATTACCTTGATAACACCCCCTTATTACATATTATATTCACACAACAATCTTATTATTATTATCTCAATTAACAAGATTAAATTCTCCTACTATGCATTTTATTCACACAATTTTTTTGCATTTTCATACTATTATACTTATGGTGACTGAACACTTTACTCCAAATCATCCTGACCTTTATTGAATGACCTTTCTAATTTGTCAAATAATACAATTTTGGAGTATTATATATATCGTAACAGATGCAAACGTTTACCTTTTTTTTAACATGTAACATTGTCAAATTCATTAATACATGCCTTATTTTTGGCCTTTGTAAAATATTATAATTATGGACCTATAACTGTAGAGCCTGATGATGAAGTTATTGAAAACAATTGTTCGCTCAAATATTCTTCATTTTTGAATACTACTTTGTCCCACGTTTTTTTAAACCGAGTAGAAAACGTTTCCGTTGATAATTCACACTTGTTTATTTATATTGTTTTGCGGCACATTACTCTATAATTCAAAATATTTTGAAAAAGTTTCACTATTATTAGTTTATCCCTTTATTTAGAATAGTAATTCAGAATTTCTAAATTAAATATTATTTAATCAAATAGCAGATAATCGTTACCATTATACGGGTGACATGAAAGCTGAATACTGGTTATCAGAGACCGTTATGATATAAACTTGTCAATAAATCACTATTTTTTAAGCAAAGATAGATAGTGGACGGCAGTAGAATACAGGACGCGCGTTTCCTCCTATTTGGGACTCGTCAGTTGGATGTACCTGCATCTCAGAGTTGGATGTTAACTCGAACCAAATACCGTTCGTTTTAAATGCCATCGCGTTATTTACTTGCCTGTGCAATGGGATGAAGTTTAAATTCACTTGGTATTGTTTACTTGAATCTGGATAATGCGATGGCGTTTGAAGCGAACTGTACTGAGTTCGAGTCCAAAAGTTAACATCAACTCTGGGATGCAGATACATACAGCTGGCGAGCCCCGAACAGGACAAAATGCGAGTCCTAGACACCTTTGCTAGCCACTATCCGCCTTTGCTTATAATGCTTGTGAATTAAGGCAATATCGAGGCAATGCGCACAGTATCCATATATGCCAATAAGATGCTGATCAATCACAGTCCTAAACATTAATAGGAAGGTTCAAGTGAGCAATACCAAGTGAATTTAAATCATTGTTATTTTTAGGATGGAGCAGGGAACAATACACTGTCGTCTGTGTGCATTTTACTTTACTCTAAAAAATTAACAGAAGATTTTGTTTAGAAGTTAATATTCGTTTGTTTAACACATGAGTAGACCATACAATAAAAATATTTAAAGACACATTTCTAAATATTATTTTTAATGTTTATCTGTTTAAAATTTACTTTAAAGGATATTTTTATTGTTATTTTTAGTTATAATAAACTTTTAAATTAATCTCATATTTTTGATTGAGATGACGAACTGATTGATGTTAGACCATCTGGAAGCACTGGATGGCCATTTCATCTTATTGTGGGGCTCCTCAGCAGTTCGTATCCACGATCCCGCTCACGGTATTCCAACCCAGGGCCTTCAGTCTCACGCGGAAACATTTTACCTCTAAACTACTGAGTTGGCATCCAACGGTGTTATTGTATAACCTCAATCAATCCACGAAATTGTGCGACCATCTTCCATCATGAATGAGCACTGTTGAGAAGTCTCACAATAGGATGAAACGGTCATCCAGTGCTTCCAAGTTTTCAATGGTGATCTAACATCAATCAATTCATGATCTCAATCAAAAACTTAATAATCTCTACAAACTTATATTGATAATGTAATATTTTAATTTAACTAATTCATTAATTATTCTTATTTTTCTGGTTCATAGAACAATTCATTTTTTGATTATATATTATTAAAGTTCAACCTGTAGAGTACCATTTAAAAGACTGAAACTTAACAAATTAGCTGCATACATTCATTTTATAATCAGATAATAATTCACATAAACTTATTCATTATTCAGTATTCATAACATGATTCTTTATGATAGTAGAATTAATTCATCAGTTTATTGTTTACATTGTTCAATTCTTCATGTATATTTCTTATATAAAATTACTTAGATTATTATTATTACTATTCATTTTATGTGAACAATAAAATAAAGGATTTAGAAAATGCTCATTTCGAATTAACGGACACATTGAATAAACTATTACCAGAGCCTATTATAAAACAAATGGTAAAATATAAACATTTAGAGGTGAGTTCAAACAATATTGTTATATATTACTGTATTAACGAATTACTATTTTTTTTTAAATATTGAATTCTTTTAAACATGTTTTCAATGATTATCAGGGAGAATTTAATGACATGATAATTAACAAGGACTTTCGTCTAACATCCATCGGTTCATGATCTCAATCTAAAAATTAATAATCTCCACAACCCCTATAATGATAATTACCATGTGCTCACTAGTGATTAGCTTCGTGAGGGAATTCTCGAAGTTCTAGTCAGAAGCCGTGAAAAGTGGAGCTAATCCGTATAGGGTAGAGACAGGTATCTACCTCGTTTCAATCAAAGATGGTCGCGCAATTTCGTGGATTGGTTGGGGTTAGACAGTAACAAGATTGGATGCTGGCTCAAAGGTCCAGTTGGTTAAGCGTTCGTGCGCGAGACTGAAAACCCTGGGTACGAATCCTGAAAGCACGATCGTGGATGCGCACTGTTGAGGAGTCCCACCATACGACGAAATGGCCATCTAGTGCTTCCAGGTTTTCAACGGTGGTCTAACATCAATCAATTCATGATCTCAATCTAAAACTTTCGTCTAAATTTGATCTAATAGTTTTACAGTATTTGGGCGCCGAGTTGATGTGAGACATTAAAGAGGAAGAATGTATTTGTAAAATCTCAGCGAATGAATTTGAAGTATATCTGACGTTGTGATTTATACTAATAACCAATAATTTACTAATAAAAATCTACAATCTAACATATTATTGTGATTCAATTATCTCGTACGGAGTAAATTTTAAATTAAATTAAGTGGTTTAAATAATGTAGCATGAATAAAATTAAGGCTAATTAAAATTCAAAGAAGTTAATTACGCCAAACTTTTAACTGAAGTTAATATGTGATGAAAACTATCTATTTATCTAACTAGTTGAGTTATGTCAACTTGATAGAGAAACTTGATACTCTGTTTACTCTTAAAAGGCAGAAAAATTTATATCAGTGACATAATATGTGACTGACTGGATAAAATCTAGAAGATACTTCTCAGTAATGATTATTCACCTACATATATTAATAAGAGTATGAATCCAAAGTATCAATATGAAAGACCAACGACGGTCACAAAGGTGACCTTTTTCAAGAAATTTGAATTTAGAGGGGATACAGTTGCAGCAAACTTTCGAAATTTATGCGAAAAATATCCTCTTTCTCTTCACTCCTAATTGTTTTTATTTAAGCTCCAGGCGGAGTTAACTTCTGATCCTTGGACTTATTAATGTCAAGCTCAGTCTTGGCCCATATCTTTAAATTCTTTTTTTTGTAGAGCATGTTATATTTAGCGAACAACGGTCTCTTTCAAAACACATCTCTCAGGATTACTCTGCCTGGTTAAAATGAGTATACAGTTTAATCACCAGTTCAAACTTAGAATTAGTTAAGTTCTAGTCCCTTTCCCGTGTCATACTTCTAACTCAAAGACGTTCATAGAATCAAATAAACTGAGTGATGCTGTAGTTTATGGACAACCTTTGAGCGATGCCATAGTAAACCTGAAAATATTCACCTACTAATTAAGGTCAAAAGAGGGTTGTAAATTAATGCGATGAATCAGTATTAAGATTTACAGTTGGACGTAATGGTTAGGGGATAGATTTTGGATTTTCATGACGAACTGACATCAGCTATAAAGCTAAAACCCTATTTAGCCATATGAACGGATGAAATTTGCTCCGAAGTACTGGATAAGCACGAACGAATGTATTGTATTTAGAATTCGAAATCAAGCATTCAACAAATACAATGGAATCATTAGTTCATTCAAACACCACATCTGTTATCTTAAATCTGATTGATTCATCCATAAATTATAGTCTCACAATAAATTGTCCTAAAGGAAAACAAATTAAAAATTGAGTACCACAAAGGACCTGGCAATTCATTGAGTCACGTCTAATCTTTGTGCAACAACAAAATGTTCACTTGCTCATCCTATATTCGTCCTAAGTTTCTTCCCACCTCTCACATTTGATAATCAACCTTTGTTACTCTTCTCTGGTATTTTTCCTAAATTATCAGTAAACTTTTACAATATTTAATTATTATAGCTTTCATATTGATCGACTGAACAATTACTACTCATCTATAACCTACATTCATCTTACCACTTTATGTTACCTTTTTTCTGAAGATAACATAAAAGTCATTCAATTTTCAGTTTATCCCAACAAATTATAATATGATCCCACTGTATTTATTGATAGGTTTTTCTATATGTTAAATTAATAAGAAAATACTATTGTGATGGAGTTTTGTTCTCTAAACTGGATGATTTGGTCGAGGAACTTTCATTGTTCGTCTGTCCGAAATCATCAGCACAAACTTCAGATAGAAGTGAAGTGTTCGAATTTCTGCAAATGTGGTTCACAGCTTTTCCTGTAGACCTCAATGTTGAATGGTTCTTGTTGACCTTAAAACTGTCATTGTTTACTTCTTTATTTTGGTGAGACATATGTGGAAAAATTCGAACACTTCACTTCTACCTGAAGTTCGTTCTGATGACGTCATTCAGACGAAAGTTGAAAGCTCCACAACCGAACCATCTAGCTCAGTGAACAAAACCCCATCCAAATCATCCGCCTGAGCTACAATACTTCAATAATACTTCGATTAAAATTCTCAAATAATTATTAAATAGTTTACTTGTTTTAGCAAAATATATACGTATAGGGTTATTGTAACTATACGTCTTTCGTTTCACTTCTATCAATAGAAGTAAAAATCTTATCGTCAAGTTGCTTTAACTAATTTATTAGTTATAAGCTTATGTAATTAACTTTAAGTCATTGCTTGTGATATCATCCGTCTGTTCAAGCGGAGTGTGGTTTTATCCTGCGACCCAGTGGTTTAACCGTAATACCACCACTAAATAGATGTATGATCATTCAAGTTGAAGTTTCACTAGTTAATTTCATTTTACTTAAAGGATACGAAATTATTCTCCATTTATACATCTATATAAAATTAATAATATAGCCCCAATTAAAACAACTGGAATCTACAGCACATCGTGTACATCGACATAAGCGTAATCTTAATCAAAGTTATAGCCGGAGCCGAAGTACAGTTAAAAAGGAGAAAGTAAGTTATTATTCTGTTTTTATTAAAGCTGCAAATAAAACCATAAAATTGTATTATAATTTCGTGATATATATATATATATATATTATATATATTGTATAATATTATCTACGCACTGATTCATGAACAGATTAAATGAATGGGTAAAATGTTTGGGGATAGTGGTTAGTGGATAGGCACTTGATACGTTTAGGTACTGTTCAATGAAATGTTACACATTCTTATTAGGAATGTAATCCAGTATCCACTAATATTTTATTTGTTAAGTAAGTGGGGGTTATTATGATCGTCGGTGGTTTAGCGTTTAAATCGATATATATCACGTTTGAGTTTTATTGTAACTACGTTACACAGAACTGACGAGTCTTAAACGAAGTGAAATGTGAAATTACCATTTTCCCGATAGCCTTCTTTCCAAATATGCTTAACATATTCGTAAGAAAAAGAAAAAAAGCCTTATAGACTAAAAAACACTATACAATTAAAGTTTTGAGTAGTAACACTTTTTACGACGACCTATTCAAGTGTTTAGGGCCCCTTTATTTTTCAACTGCTCAATGATTCCGATTAAACTATTCGCGTTAGATATGTCTCAACTAAATAATTATGAATATAAACTGTATGTGATCATACTCTGTTATAAAAATTACAGTGTATTGTGATAATAAATACTGGAAAACTCAAACAGAAACACTTCACTTCTTGTCATATTTTACTACTTATCAATGTTCTGGAGAGACAATAGATAAATATATTGTAATTCATGCATGTTATGTATGATCAATGAGAAAAGAATCAGTCGTAACAGTTAAACTAGTAGAAGAATTCAATAAACGAATATGAGTAAAAGATATTGACTGTTTAAAAAAAACATTGATAAAACATCTTTTGAATGATTGTCATTTGGATTCATGTTAAAGAGATATTTCTTGTAATACTACACAATTGGTGCTAAGAATTCTGTATTGCAACGAAACTTATAACTTTGAATTTGACTACTATGATTTTTATTTAAATAAACAATGAAAAGAGAAATACGAAAACAACTATAACAAATAACATTAACAAGATGTTAGTTTGTATATTCTGGAATTCAAATTAAACCTTTTGTATAGAAGTTGATTTGCTTAAACTGAACTACAAAACAAGACAAAAAGATTTACAATTATGAACTATACAATACAAGTAATTATTGAACAGATAGAAAATGAATAAACAGACTAATCAAATTAGTCATTACTTTTTGCCCTAAAAAACTGAACTCAAGTATAGTAATTTCGTAGTCTTCTACTCTATCTCAATTTTTGTTAATTGTGATTTGGCTATACTTTGGTTATACTGTGTGATGTGATTCAACTGTCGTAGACATGTTATCCAGTTAGACTTTCAATATATGATAAAGCCATTCACTTTAAATAAATCAAGAAAATAACTAAAGAAGATATCCAATTTCCGTTTTTGTTTTCTTCGATAATAGGCGCATATTAATTACAGGACATCTTCAATGAATTATGACTATTTAACTAATTGTTTAATGGATAAAATGAATACAGTTGAAAATGAGTAAGACTGTTTGATATTGTTCAAATTTCATTTAGTTCTTTACAAGTACAGACACTTTTGAATGGAACTTCTTAAAATAAATAAAACAGTAATTGTTTGGTATTATAATAGTGATTTAATTCTTCAGCCATAAAAGAGGCTTTCATTGTATAGTTTTCTTTAGAGCAAAGAACATTGTTAGCATGAATGTTTGCAAGAAACATCTATTGAATCAGTGCCTACTTTGATGTGTAATACTAGTTGAGGTTGATATTAGTGAGAGAGATACTATGTGGTATTCAATCTAAGGTAATAACATCCGTTCATGAAGTCAATAACTTCCAGTCTAAGGCATATGGGGAAATGTGAATTTATCCATTAAGATTTGTACATATGTTCATAGTTATGTACAGATTTTGAATAAAGCTAATCACGAAGTTTAGTTACCTAAATCAGACTGGTTTTATTGTTGGGAGTCTGTTTCATTTGTTTGAGTCTGATCTCTTATATAGTCTAACTAGGTCGACTTAGCTTGGACGATCGATTTCTATAAATCATCGGGTTTTAATAGTGCGGTATATTATAATTTTTCTATAGTTCTAAATTTTTCTGCATGGTAATCTGGTATTGATTAATTAATTTCTAATTTTCTTCTGAAGAGGTACAATGGCTTGCTGTGATGCATTGTTTGTCCTTGTGTCGACGTATAAACAATTCAGTGATCGAATATACTCTGTAAGTCTTTTTTTACGGTAAAATTGAAGAGATAATTAACATTCCATTTCAGTGAGTGTATACAAATTTGCATATTTATCATAAGCAAATGATTGTTTCCAATTCCAGGTGTCTGCTTTGTAAGGTTTCCTGGAATGGTAAAATGAACTATACTCAATAATTCAACATTATCTAGATAATATATCCATTTTTCAACAGTTCTGTAAGACTCTTTGATGTAGCAATTAACTTAATAGAAATCTTGATTTATCATGTTAACATTAATTATTTCCTGCTAACTAACACCAAGTTATAACATTGTCATAACATAGTTATGTCTTATAACATAGTTGGGCAATATAATGAATTCAATAAAGCAAGTTTTGCAAACTACTGAGTGCTGGCTCCGTGGTTTGAATCTTAAGCATTAACCATGATGTATTAATTAGTCTCTCAATAGTAAATTAATATCCTGTTGTCTAGTTTACGGTGTTGATCTAACTCCATTGGTTACCTTTTTAGTATGAACAGTGTAAAAAGTGACTCAAATTTGCCGTGAAGATTTCTAAATATTTTTTAATCGATATTTTGGAGTACAATTTTATAATCTGACGAATAAACTCTTGATTGGTAAAATGAAAGATTGATTGATGAAATTCAGTGATGCGATATGGAAAAATAATGAATGTTCACAAGATCAATTTATTGACGTTAACTCACCTACTCAACTGATATTAGAACACAACATACCCGTTCAGGAGAATAGGCATTTTTGTTTTAAAATAACATGCTTGTATGCGAAACATGAAATAAGCATGATTGAATGCCATAGGTATTTGAAGGAAACCAGTTTGCAGGTCATTTATTCCGTAATTAATATTGACTTCATCAATAGTATCGAGTTAGAGATCATGGTGATTCTTTGGATTTATATTTCTAGCCAGTTAACACCTTAGACTTTAGTAATGGATTATAAGAGTTCGAGTTCCGATGGAGACATCAATCCATTTAGGATTAGAAGCATATTTCTGACAAGCACCAACAAGTATGAAACGCAAATCCAGCTATATCTTTCGCTCTATCGCTTCCAATCACTTAAAATCACCATCGTTTGTTTATATTCTATCTAACTATATTTCCAAACAGAGTTTCGATCTGCATCTAGTCGCCATCCAGTTGTTATTTTGGTCACTAGATTTCCTACTTTCATTAAACAACCAGGATTCTCTTTTTTTACATCATGTAGACAAAATTATTTCAATCTTTTTTAACCATACATTTTGTCAGGTATTAAATTATTTGTTTGAAGAAGTCAACAAACTACACGAATGTGCTGCAAGAGAATTGAATATGTCTTATGCTAAATCACTAAAAAATATAGAAAATGCAACTCAAGCAACTAAATGGAAAGCATCAAGTATAATGAGTTCTCAAGATCGTGAAGGTTCCATATGCAGAAGTTCATCAAGAGGACGAATAATGTCCAGGTATGTTTATATATACATATATTGTGAAGTCATATGAGCATATCGTGGTTAGTAATTACGGTTACATCTTCGTTTATTCAGTCATTCAATTGTAGATATTTCTGAAACATTTTTATTCCAGAATTAATTGGAGGGATGATATTTGCTTTGTTGTAATTTTTCTCCCATCACATCTGTGCGCTCCACACTTGACACGTCTGTAGCATGATGAGTTGGCATTTTTGTCGTAGAAAAATTTACATTTTTTATGTAAGCCAGCAAAACAAGAACGAAATACGACCTCCTTCATGGATTACGACTGTATAAATAATAACTCCCGCTTCATTTTGGATGGTTTCCAGGTCCAAGTAGCGAACAAGAGTGCAGTTTATCCTCACCTCATTTATTTGTTTTATTCATTGTATGAACAAAGCCGAAAGATAATTTACTCCGACTAGTATAATTTAGGCTAATTGATTATAAACAATCATTTTTTGATTAAAACAAGAAACCACAGCGAAGTTAATTTTACATTTTATTGAAAATAAAACTGTAGGAGATTAAATTATCTTGAAACAATCAAATATCAGTTATCACAGTGGCTTTAGTCAATGTAATTCTACACAACATATAGATACCAAACAGTTATAAAACTGGAATGAAACAGCTGTTCAGCACTTAGTTACACCAATTTACATAATTATTATGTTGATATTTTAGATTATTCTAGCTAGTTTATTGACTTTTTTATGTTAGATAATTAAGAGTAACTGGTACATATCTGTTTGAACTTGTTAAATATTTATTACCCCCCCCCCAGATTCATCAGAAGCCAGGAAAGTGACCGAAATAACTTTTAGACATTGACTGTCTTGGGAAACTTTTTGGGTAATCTTATTTCCTTACGCCTGTTACTCTTTGTGGAAAAACATAGGTCGCCTACTAGGATTCTCCATCAAACTCTGCTCTGGTCAATCCTTTCCTGTTGTTTCCGATTGCTATTCATCCTTTTGATTTCTGCCTCCGATTCCTAACACAATTTATTTTTTGGTCTACCTCTTTTCACTTTTCTTTCATGATTCTGAGTTAGGGATTCCCTCGTGATGGAGTTTGATGATTGCCGCAATGTCCGATTCACCTCCAGCGTCTAGTAGATAATCTAGGTAGTAAACTATTGTTTTTACTTAATCCGATTTCTCAATTGAAAAATTTGTTGATATTTTAAGTGAACTTTCTAGAATCGTTTGTATTCCCAAAAGTCACTTTTAAACCTTTAAATTCCCTTTATTTGTACTTTACATGAAATAAACTTTAGAAGTAAAGCTTATTTCATATTTCTGTCTTCCGTGTTCATTGAAGTTTGGAGATTGTAAGAGTTCAATGATCGATTAAGACATTTATATTTCAACCATTTCGTAAGTTAAAACGTATCAGAGTTAAATGAACTTTAATAATATTGAATATCTTTATAAATAAATCACTCTTTAAATGCTGTACTATGTTTCTCAATACTCATTCATTGAAAATAACATCTCATAACTTTATATTTTATGACTGATACCAATAATAGCTCAACATTCCCTTCAATCAATAGAAACTAATGATTACTTCTATACTGTTTCATGTGTTCTTTAATGTATTCACAAAGAAAAGAAATTTCTTTCAGTAATATTTACTTTGTAATTGGAATACTATTAAAACAAATTCAAATATTATCATGTTAAAAATGGAATTATAATTAACTAACATAGTCTAGTTTAATAATAAATTAAAATACTTAAATGTACTGTAGTGAACAAGAACACGAGTGGGGAAAGTCGAATAGATCTAATAGAAAATTACAGCACATGCTAATAAAATATAACAATCAAATGCTTAATTTGCAAAATTTCCATCAGTTGTCTTAAAATGACTTCGACTTCATTGTATTTGTGTTTCCATTCTGTTTTCATTCTTTACTGTTCGGTCCTCTTGTCTTTCTGCTGCCAGACATTCTGTTCACGACTAACGTTATATACTACTTATGTCGATATAAGTAGCACACACCACACTCGTCTCCCCTTTAAAGCAGTCCTTCTTGCGGTGGTTCATGCTCGCCGTACCAGTACATGATATTATATAAATTGTAAATCAGTGATTAATTTACATCATTACATGATACTACTAAGGATTCACAAACAAAGATAATGTTATATCCTAGCGAAGATTAAATTGCGAATAACTCCTGAGACTTATTAATGGACTAATATTATCTATATGTTCTTATGGTATAACTGTTCAGTAACTAGATGATGTACATTTATATTCCTCTTATTATAAGCTTCATTTTGACATATAATTTATCATTACACGATTTACTGTTCTTAAATTATACTCAGTTTATTAATTACTGTCTCCCATGCTCACAGCCACTTTTTGGCTTTATTGTGTATAAATGTTATTTCCTATTTTGTGATGCGTTGTGATCTGTTTGGTTGGTATATGAACCCAGTATGTCTGAAATAAATGATTCGAATGGTGGAGGCTGTGTTGGCATTCTGGACTCAACTGGACGGGCTAGGTGAGCAACGAACCGATAGGACGCCAGACTGACCAGGCCGGTTGGACGTCATTGGTTTAGTACAGTATAAGAGTGAATAAGTCGTATTTTGATTGGCGAATAAATTATGTGATTACTAGCGGGCCATAAAGTCCCAACAAATCGAATAACTGTCCAATACTCCATGGTTTTAAGTAGTGTTCCAGTTCATATGAGTAAAATCTATAAAGTAGTCTGATTCATTCATTCTAAAGTTTTGTACTATTAATTTGTTGATATGCAAGATAAATAAACACCATATTCATTGAAGAAGTTAATGAATATCTGGACTCATTAACTTGATGAATGATATAATATTTGAAGTGATAAGTACTTGAGCACAAGTCACAGTGCAAGCATTGACTGTTAGACAGAGTTACATCATGTTAGTGAATTTGTAATAGGACGAAGACTTTTTTTCTGGATTTCAATGTTAGTTATAATCTAAGTATACAAAAATACTTGTAACAAAGAGAGATAATATTGAAGCGTCCCCCAGAATATACATGTATAAAAAAGGACTGACTAAAATTCATTCCCGGAAATCAATAACAGGATAATACAAAAATCCTTACGAATCGTGAATAATAGTTACTTTCTTTCCTTAGTCTCTCATCTTGTTAATCTTCTCTCTACTTCTGCTGCTACAAATTATGGTAACTTGAACAGATACTCGTTCATTCTATAATGTTTGTTAATTACCGATTAAGTTTTATCATAATTTCTTAGCGTTGTGTTCGAAAAACTTATACTTCAGGGTTTTTTTCATATGATAGTTTACTGGCAGCGTGGATTTTTATTTTGTCAAACAAAAGTAATCAATCTTCAGTATCTGAATTGCTTAAGCATATTTTTTGATATCATGATATTTATAAACAAGACGATCATCTTTTGCAAGATTATCCTTCCTCTATTACATCATAATTAATTGTGTGTGTGGTTCTATTCATATGATTGTAACGAAAGACAACACTAAACTCTGTTGATTGATACCTTTCAAGTAGGAGTATTTGACAGGGAAAATCTTATCTAATAAGTAATTCAAACTGTTAAGAATTGATTCACTGTAATATTTGTGTATAAACTATGGCCTATGACAGACAAGCTCTCATTTGAATTGTTTATATTTAATGGTGTTTTACCTTATTTTCTCTTTTTTAGTTGTAGTTTATCCCAATATACAGTTTGTAAAGTTAACAGATTTTTCCTTCAATTTCTTAAAGATTTGTCTCTTCATAGAAACTTAACGTTGGCTGGTTGAGGACATATTAGAGATACATTTTGATAACATTTTTCTTAGATGCACACTTTATTCATCCTCAGGATCTATCTCGAATGTAGATCACTCTGATTATCTTCATTTATCAACATCATTATTGAGCAAAACATCAATTATTTCTTAGGACGATGTTAAAAACAAATTTGTATGTTGTTCTCTGACTTCCTGTTAATGAGAAACTTGAGCTTTCATGTCAAAGTAGTTTGAGGCGTAAGCGCAAGTATAACCACTGATAAGAATGTCCCCTTCGCTATATTTAACTTCGAAGTATATCCTCACAAGTAGAGTATTGAAAGTTAACATCTAACTCTTAGACTGGATCACCAAATGTACGATTTCAGCTGGGGGATTTGGACATCTATGATTTACTGCTAATGGTATGCATAGACTTTGAGACAAAATATACGCATCAACCTTCTTGGGACTAGCTATCAAAAGATGTGTTCTATGACTTTATTGTAGTGTTTTAACCACTAAGTAGAATAATCAAATGTGTTTCCCCTTTAAAATAACCTACTTCTATTTAAACATTAGGATAATATCACAACGCTAATAAAAAATATCATTATAAAGATTTAAGTAAGAATAACTTGCTCAGACAACACTTATTTCCAAATCCTAACGATACTATTATGGATATGTTCATCATATTGTATTAGGAATCGGTTGTCCAATGTAAAATTCAATGAAATTTTTATGAAACCTTCAATGCTGTTTCAACTAGGTAAATCCAATTACATAACTGTATTAATCGAGCTAAATATATATCTTGTTACAAAATGATAAAAATTTTCTATAAATGTCCATTTTTATTGATATTTAAGATCTATCTGAACGGTGAACACAAATATACTGAGATTATTCAAAGATCTTATGGCATCTATACCTGATTAACCTATTGATAATGCTTTAGTTATCATTTATTTATTTATTTTAACACATAGATATTGGTACAAGGAAGCACCAAATACATATGCGCCACACAAATCTCATTTGATATTTGTGAGGGCTGTGATACTGCCCTGGTGCCCAAACCGAAGCAGGTGGTTTTCTTAGGTGGCCACACCTGGATACTTCGACCTGAAGGTCTGATCCACAAGGCAGTGGAGCAACGTAAGGAGATGCAGTCCCATGTAAGCCGGTGACCAACGATTGGTTCATACGCCATTTGTTCCTTTTGGATACTGGAGTCCATGTGCACGATTGGTTTGGAATCAAGGTTTTCCAAATCCCCTATGTGAACTCTCCGTGTCCACTAACGCGGCTAAGGCGCCGGACGCTCGCTTTTCGTCCTCTGAATTTCGTAAACAACACTCCCGCTACGAGAAGGCAGTGAGTAGGACTTCCCTTGCAGAGGCTATATACGTGTGGCCATGTGAGAGCATTTTGAGAGGGTGAACGGACTCTCTCCACTCTCGGCCGTACCAGTGCATTCAGGGGCTTTAGTTATCATAAAAACCAAAGGTATACCTCCAAACTCGATTCCTTATAATAGTCGTTTTTATGATGTTCAACATTAAAGGTTTCATTAGATTAGAGAATATCACCTAGTGGGAATGATATATATTTATATTTTTATGCAAAGCTAAAAAATCGAGAATTCCATGAAATTGGATTATTGACACCATTCTGTATGTTAAATTTCCTTTCTAACATTTAAACAACTTGGTGATTGAGTAAATCTTTATATCAGTAATAGTAGTTGAACTAAGATAGTTTAAATAAACTTGAATAAAATTAAATTAATAATGTTGATCTAATAATTAGAAGCTAAGTATTTAAGTGTTTATATATTACAGATTCATCTGTTTATTTTCTATAATAATTAACTTAACAGTCATATTCGTTTGTAATGCTTGTTTGGATCTTCCCACTGATGTCTAGGACGCGTTGACGTTTAAATTCAAAGGTAGTGTGCTCTAAAACCGAAGCGAATATTAACGGAGAAAAATATTTACATCCAGCTGACGAGTCTTAGCTAGGACGAAATGCGCTTTCTGAATTCCACTGCTAGTCATTATCCATTTCTGCCTATTAATAAATATATTTTCTATAAGTTAGAACTTATGTTCTCAAGAAATAGCAGTTATCAATTTCTAAGATTTTCGAAAATTATTTTCTAACGACGATTTTATCAGTTTGTTATTTACACGTTGTTGTTTAAAGGTTTGTTATGGATTGAACAAAAATAAACGATAAAAATGATCAAGTAAATATTATAACACCAAAGGCTGACAATGAAGCAAACTTGAAGTAGTGAACATTCATGACTGAGATCAAGCAGTCATATTGTAAAAATATCAATATTGTTGGTTGTACCTTGATGGAATAGCAGAAGCGTAATTGAGAACGAAGAGTTATTTAAGAAATATACTGTATTTTGAATGATAATCATTTTATATGTTGTCATCGCATTAAGAATCCAACAATAAGATTTAAGCAAAACATTTCACAATCGGTAATGTACAGATGCGATGAGATTTGGACGATAGACATATCCACAAAATATATAAAAATCATGTTTTTCTAACCATTTGTACAGATATGAAAGTTACTTTGAAGGCCATTTTATCGCAGATTGGTACCCAACTGGATGAATGTTTTGTCTTATTGGTTGTCCCTATTTTTTTTAACCAAACTCCTGTTGTTTTTTCAATTCCTAGCAATTTCGATTCAAGTGATCGTCCAGCCACAGAAAACACTGAACATGATCCACTTTCAGTGACTGAACTTAACAGTGAATTATTGGGGATAATAACACGTCAGGTAAGTATTAAGATATACATATTTTGGCACGTATACTCCATAATTTTCATGTTTGATTTAGCGTTGTTTATTTAGCATAGAATGAACATTTATCAAAGACTGGTTTGACTGAACCAAATGATTTACTCTCGTTGCTTAACCGCATAATAACTAACAATTTTGTAGCTCAAAAGGATAACTTTACTATGGTTTTTTCTCTGAAGCAGATGATATTTTCATGTAACTTTGATGGCCAATTTCTCCAGTTAACATCAAAACAAACTTCCAGAAATAATTGAACTTTTAGAATTTCTTCCTCAAATGTCCATATGGATTGATGTAACTAAAAATATACTGTGACATAAATTTTTCTGGGGAAAATATTGAAATTTTGCAAAAAAAGCCATCACGATGAGGAATAGAGAACTATTAGAAGACTGACTGGTAGCTATCACTCAATAAACATGAGAGCGAGATATCCGTCTATCAACAAAAGGACGAGTATACTGCGCGGCAGTCCGTTCTGTTTTACTTTACGGCGGCGAAACATGGCCATTAAGAGAAGATACTCGTAACTTACTTACTTACTTACTTACGCCTGTTACTCCTCGTGAAGGAGCATAGGCCACTCACCAGCATTCTCCATCCAACCCTGTCCTGGGCAATCCTTTCTAGCTCCGTCCAGTTGTAATTCATCCTTTTCATATCTGCTTCTATAATCCGACGCAATGTGTTCTTTGGCCTTCCTCTTTTTCGCTTCCCTTCAGGGTTCCAAGTTAGGGCTTGCCTCGTGATGCAGTTTGACGATTTGCGTAATGTATGTCCTATCCATTTCCATCGTCTTTTCCTAATTTCTTCTTCAGCTGGAAGTTGGTTTGTTCTCTCCCACAGAAGGCTATTGCTGATGGTATCCGGCCAGTGGATGTTGAGTATCTTGCGTAGGCAGCTATTTATAAATACTTGTACTTTCTTGATTGTGGTTGTTGTAGTTCTCCAAGTTTCAGCTCCATACAGTAGAACTGCCTTGACGTTCGTATTGAAGATTCTCACTTTGATATTGGTTGAAAGTTGTTTTGAGTTCCATATGTTCTTCAATTGTAGGAATGCGACCCTTGCTTTGCCGATCCTCGCCTTTACGTCTGCATCTGAACCTCCTTGTTCATCGATGATGCTTCCTAGGTATGTGAAGGACTCTACATCTTCCAGAGTTTCGCCATCAAGAGTGATTGGATTGCTGTTCTCCGCCTTGAATTTGAGGACCTTGGTTTTCCCTTTGTGTATGCTGAGGCCTACTGATGCAGAGACTGCTGCTACACTGGCTGTCTTCATCTGCATCTGTTCGTGTGTACGTGATAGGAGGGCTAGGTCGTCTGCGAAGTCCAAATCGTCTAATTGATTCTGAGCTGTCCATTGTATTCCGTGTTTTCCTTCAGATGTCGAGGTCTTCATAATCCAGTCGACCACCAGAAGAAAGAGGAAGGGAGAGAGTAAACAGCCTTGTCTGACTCCAGTCCTTACTTGGAATGCATCTGTCAGCTGTCCTCCATGCACTACTTTGCACTGTAGTCCGTCGTATGAGTTCCGGATAATGTTGACAATCTTCTCAGGAACTCCGTAGTGTCGAAGAAGTTTCCATAATGTCCTCCTATCTACACTGTCGAATGCCTTTTCATAATCAATGAAGTTGATGTATAGTGATGAGTTCCACTCAACTGATTGTTCGACGATGATCCGTAGTGTTGCAATTTGGTCTGTGCACGACCGATCCTTACGGAATCCAGCTTGTTGATCTCGAAGTTGGGCGTCTACTGCATCCTTCATCCGGTTCAGCAACACTCTGTTGAAGACTTTCCCTGGTATTGACAGTAGTGTAATGCCTCTGTAGTTTTCACATTTGCTCAGATCTCCTTTCTTTGGAATCTTGACGAGGTGTCCTTCTTTCCAGTCCATCGGCACTTGTTCCTCCTCCCAAATCTTTTTGAATAGAAGGTAAGCATGCTTGTGGTTGCTTCGATGTCTGATTTCAGTGCTTCAGCTGGTATGTTGTCGGGTCCTGCTGCTTTCCCGTTCTTGATTTGTCTGACGGCCATTCTAATTTCTTCCGTCGTTGGTGGGTTGACATCTATAGGAAGATCTATGTGTGCTGCTTCGATGTCCGGTGGATTCATTGGAGCCGGCCTATTCAGGAGTTCCTCGAAGTATTCCACCCATCTGTTACGCTGTTGTTGAATTTCGGTGATTGGCTTGCCTTCTTTGTCTTTGACCGGCCTCTCTGGTTTACTGTATTTCCCTGCTAGTTTCTTCGTTGTATCGTGAAGCTGTTTCATATTTCCTTCTCTAGCAGCTTTTTCTGCCGTCGTTGCTAGTTCTTCCACGTATTTCTTCTTGTCGGCTCTAATGCTCCTCTTCACTTGTTTGTTTGCTTCTATGTATTCAGCTTGTGCTTGGACTTTCTCTGCTCGTGTTCGGCTGTTGTTAATTGCTGCCTTCTTGTTCTTCCTTTCTTTGATCTTGTCCAGTGTTTCTATAGAGATCCATTCCTTATGATGGTGTTTCTTTAGGCCCAGAACCTCTTGACACGTTGAAGTTAATGCTTCCTTGATGCCTTTCCAGTTGTCCTCCATAGTAGTTTCTTCTTCTTCAGTAGATCTTGTAAGGCTTGGAACCTGTTGTTGAGAGCTATCTTGAATTCATTGAGTTTGTCAGTATCTCGAAGGAAGGCTGTATTGAACCTTTGTAGTGCTGTTTGTCCACTTGTCCAGTTCTTTTTAGCTTCAGTTTTAAATTGGCTACAACTAGGTGGTGATCTGAAGCTACGTCAGCACCTCTCCTGGTTCTCACATCTTCCATTGTCCTTCGGAATTTTTTGTTGATGCAAATATGATCTATTTGGTTCTCTGTAGTGTGGTCCGGTGAGATCCATGTAGCCTTGTGTATACGCTTGTGTGGAAATATTGTGCCTCCTATGACCAATTTGTTGAATGCACACAAATTTGCAAATCTTTCTCCATTTTCGTTTCTTTCTCCCAGTCCATGTCGTCCCATAATATCTTCATATCCAGTGTTGTCTATTCCGACTTTGGCATTTAGATCTCCCATCAGAATAGTTAGGTCCTTTCTTGGCATTTCTCAATGATTGACTGCAGCCGCTCGTAGAACTGATCTTTAATGTCGTCGTTGCTATCATTGGTGGGTGCATAACATTGGATAATATTCATTAAGATCCCCTCCTTCTTTGTTTTGAATGATGCTTTGATGATTCTGGATCCGTGAGACTCCCATCCTACAAGTGCATTTCGTGCTACTTTGGACAGCATAAGAGCGACTCCCTGAGTGTGTGGAGCATTGTCCTCTTCGTGACCGGAGTATAGCAGCATCTCTCCCGTAGCTAGCCTTTTCTGTCCAGCTTGGGTCCAGTGGGTTTCGCTGATTCCCAGTACTGCTAAGTTGTATCTCCTCATTTCCATTGCTATTTGACTGGTCTTCCCGGTTTCCCACATTGTTCGAACGTTCCATGTACCTATAAAAATTTTTGCTCTGGTTGTTAGAAGGGGCATCGGCCTCGTGGCTTCCGAAGGAACTCGGCTTTCACCATGAAGCGTCATAATTCTTCTAACTGAAGACCTTCTAACTCCCAGGGCAGAGTTTAAATGGTTTGGATTATTTTTTCTGGTAAGCGTTTTTTTAGCGAGTTAGTTTTCTACGGGATGGGGACGCTAACCCCATGCCCAACCCTCCTCCTTTACCCGGGCTTGGGACCGGCAGTAACCCTATTAGAGCTACAGGCGGAGTTAAGATACTCGTAAGCTACTAGTATTTGACCACAGATGCCTTGTAAATATTGCTGGCGTCTTCTGGGATCACCGGGTAAGTAGTAGTGGGGTTAGACACAGGGTATTACGGAATGGTGGCAAATCAGTTGATGAGGTTGTAAATTTTCATCGACTGAGATGGGTGGGCCACGTGTTACATATGCCTGAACACCGATTACCACGACGTGAAACGCTAACCGGTGTTTGGTATTGTTGAAAGTTAGGGGCGGCCAAACCAAAACGTGGCATCAGTGCTTGAAGTCACTAACTTCTAGTCCGAGCCATGTTGGTAGATGCAGACTACTTGGTTGTGATCCGCGTGACTATCGTAACCAATGGTTGGAGACTCTTGGTGATATGGCTCAGAATCGATCACAATGACGTCAGTGTATACACTCTCTGTCTTCCCTTAAACTAAGAGATTAAAATCGCTTCATATCTCTTTACGTACTAATTCTTTCTTCCTATACTATATCCTTATATGCAATCTTTTTTTTTATATATTACCACCTCTGAATTAACTACTTTTATGAATCCGGTGTTCATCTTCTTGTGTTAATGAGGTATGGCAACTTGAACCGATGCATGTGTGTGCCTGGTCCTACGTTGTAGCTGACTGACTGAATGACTCAATAAATTAATGAATTGATAAAAAAGGTAAAAAGTCAAGGACAAAAATGTGCAGATTATAGAAAAACAATTATCTAACACGCAAGTAGTTAAATCCTGTGTCAACTGAATATACTGTTAGTCATATGTTTACTAATTCTAGCAGTTTATCGCTTTAATAATCTTGTGACAATTATATTGTCTAGAAAGTTACATGATAAGAGCCTTTCAATTACACCATTCGTCTCAGTGATTGTAATTGTTCCACGACTAGTAGCATCAGTAGTGTAGTCAACCCTACTCACAACATTGCTTGTAAGTAGTATGTAGCGAAACGTGACCTCGAAGTTGTCAAACACAATGAAGAAATTCGGTACAAGAGAAACACGGGGTCGGCACAACACTTAAAAACCAGATGAGAAGACTTTTCACATTTCAAAACACACTATCGAATGCAAATGGATGAGTTAAGTCTATGTATACGTATTATGTAAATGCAGAAGAAAAAGGGAAAGACTTGTTTTCTTATTACATTTGTAACTGATATATGTTCGAGTATATGATATTTATAATAAATCAACAAAAGTAATGCAACGTCAAGGTTTGAATTGATAGTTACGAAAGGATCACGAAAATGTATTTATTATTATAGATAATTCTATTATTGGTTCGAGGAATTTGTGGAGATTACTGGATTTTCATACGTGAAATAACGAACTGATCCTGGTTAGACTTCTAATAAAAGCCTGAAAACGCAAGATGGCTGTTTCATCTTAGCATGGGACTCCTCAGTAGTGCTCATCCAGTAACCTACATGAGGGAGACTAAACCAGAGCCACCGGTTTCGTGTATAACACCTAACTTCTAAACCACTGAAACAGAATCCAGTGACATACAAGTTTAATTTCAACCAATCTACGACATTGTGCAACCCTCCTAAAGTTCTAGTTACAAGCCGTTACTAGTAGAATTCAGTCCGTGTCGAGTGTGAGACAGTTATCCACCACAGACAATCGATAAGGGTTGTGCAATGTCATGAGTTGACTGAAATTAAACTCATATATAACCGGATTCTGATTCAGTGGTTAAGACATTAAGGTTTTGTTCTTCAGACCGAAGGATCTGGTTTATTTTCCTGTCTGCGGGATCGTGAACACACACCTGAGGAGTCCATACTAGGATGAAACGCCCATCCAGCGCTTCTAGGCTTTCATCATCAATCTGGTTAAGATCTCTTTGTAATTTATGCTATGAAGTTAAAGCAAATTAATGAATCCATTAACATACATTTAAAAATTCTGGATAATTTTAGTGGTAAAAGTACTGTATAGCGACGGCCTAAAAACAGACGTGACGAATTTCCAGATAGTTTCAAGCCAATAAATATACAGCCTTTATAAATAAATAGTTTATGGAAAAGTGTAAACAGACTTTACATAATTGATGTCTTCGACAGGTTACACTGATTGTAAATAAAAAGAACAATAAAATACAAACTCATCGTGGTGAATATAGATTTTCGATACCCTCAAACTTGCCGAAAAAAGTTCAAACAGATTTTTACAAGTCCCCATATTGTCCTCAGTAAATGTAATGTTTTTAGGTTTAGGATTCTCGTCACTAACTGACATCACATATAAGACAAAAATATTCTGTAGACATACAGATGAATAAATTTCGCTCAAAAACACAGGACATACTATCTGATTTAGCGTGGACAGAACAACACTATGGAAGCTTCTTCGATATTACAGCGTGCCTCAGAAGATAGTCAATATCATACAGAATTCCTACGATGGATTAAACTGCAAAATCATGCATCGAGGACCATTGAAAAACTCGTTCGAGGTAAAGACCGGTTTCAGGCAAGGTTGCTTACTCTCACCCTTTCTCTTTCTCCTGGTGATCGACTTGATCATGAAGATGTCAACATCTGAAGGGAAGCACGGGATACAATGGACAGATAGGATGCATTTGGACGATCTGGACTTTGCAGATGATCTGGCCCTTCTATCCCAAACGCAACAACAAATGCAGGAGAAGACGAACAGTGTGGCAGCAGCCTCGGCAGCAGTTGGTCTCAATATACACAAAGGGAAAAGCAAGATTCTCCGATACAACACAGCATGCACCAATCCAGTCACAATTGACGGAGAAGATGCGGAAGACACAAGAACCTTTACATATTTGGGCAGCATCATTGATGAACACGGTGGATCTGATGCAGATGTGAAGGCGCGGATCGGCAAAGCAAGAGAAGCATATTTACAACTGAGGAACATCTGGAACTCAAAGCAACTGTCAACCAACACTAAGGTCAGAATTTTCAATACAAATGTCAAGACAGTTCTACTGTATGGTGCAGAAACCTGGAGAACTACGAAAGCCATCATCCAGAAAATACAGGTATTTATTAACAATTGTCTACGCAAAATACTTCAGATCCGTTGGCCGGACACTATTAGCAACAACCTACTGTGGGAGAGAACAAACCAGATCCCAGCGGAGGAAGAAATCAGGAAGAAGCGCTGGAAGTGGATAGGACACACATTGAGGAAAACACCCAACTGCGTCACAAGACAAGCCCTCACATGGAGTCCTCAAGGCCAAAGGGAAAGAGGAAGACCAAAGAACACATTGCGCCAGAAAATGGAGATAGATATGAGAAAAATGAACAAGAATTGGATGGAACTAGAAAAGAAGGCCTAGGACAGAGTGGGTTGGAGAATGCTGGTCAGCGGCCTATGCTCCATTGGAAGTAACAGGCGTAAGAAGAAAGAAGAACTATCTGATTAGTTTGTCCATAAACCATAGTACCATCAGTTTTAAGTCTGTTTCAGGATTAAGGACTCTAGCTTAGTAACTAAATATAGTATCAAGTTGCCTGCTACACACAATCTAAGGAGATAGAATTAAGCATTTGATACTTTCAAGAATATTATTTCCACTCGATTGTGATAAAATATAGTTTTTCACCGCATTTCTAAATGTCTTAAGCAGTATACAAAAGTATTTCCACTGCTCATTATGCAAGATATTTGAATTCTTCACGGAAATCCAAAGTGGTATTTTCATTCCTGTTTCAATATCCACGGAGGATAATTTTCGGAGATGAGCTTGGAAAGCGCTCACTTTGTGCGGCCTATGAAATCTAATCCACAAAAATATCATTTTCACGGTTTTAATTCATTATTCACCCTTCGCACACTCGCTAAGTGAACAATTATCCTACTCACATTTCATCTCATCCCATTATCTTTCTTCAATTCCTGATTATTAAGCAATTTTCTTTGACATATCATATGATGTAATCTTCCTCCTATATTTCAATCGATTATTTTATTTGTAAACTTGCAATACATACAATTGTACAGCTTAAGTAAATGATATTGTCGGGACCATTTTCTTCACTGAATTGTCGCAATTCATTTTCAATGGCATGATGGATTATTTTTGATATTTGATTAGTTCTAGTTGGGTTGAATGATTATATTTTCTAGTTTTAACATTTAATCGTATATTGTTTATTCTATCATTAAATTAAATCTCATTTTCACCTGCATCAAACTGAAAATAAAAATAAAATTTAGAAATCATCTGACGAAACAATCGGTTCAAACCATTCTTATCATTGTTTGAACAAAAAATCATCATCAAACTCATCATCACTAACATTACCGCTACCACCACCACCATCCCTTCAACCGCCATCATCAAAAGCATACATAAAGACAATGGTGACAAATACAACAAATGAATCGCAGTCTAAAGAATCTCTGTCGCAGAAAGATACAAACGGAGCATTGTGTAAGATATCCTCTTCACGGTTATCACAATCATCAACCTCACTGTCGACAACAAAGTCAAATGAAATCATAGATTCAAATGATCACGAAAATTCTAATGATACGACTACTTTAAACTCTGTTAGTATTCAAATGACAAAAGTTGATGATACTGACAATCCTGGTATGAAAAGTAACAATGGTGATGATTTTAACAGTGATAAAACTAATAACGATAATAGTGGTAATAAGGAAAAGTGTACATTGACAAACAACCTGTTGTTCAATTCAACTTCATCAGCATCGACTTATTCCATTTGTCAATTTCCGTATTATTCCAATCAAAAATCCCATCATTACAATCAAAACTATCCCTATGATATTAAATCACCAACCGTTTCGACAATTTACTCAATAAGAAATAATAATCCCAGTAGTAGCATACTTACTGAAAAAACCGAAACATTACTACCGATTATGAAATCATCAAATGTGTGTAATCTGAATTATGCTACTGAAAAGTCACTAAGTAGCATGCTTTATTTAAATAAAAATAACATGAACCCATTGAGTGATAGTTGTCCTTATGACAATAACAATGAAATTAGTTGTATACCAATAATTGTTCAAAAAAATTCATGGTCAAACACTTCTCCCATTAATAATAATGATAATAACAAAAACAGCAACAGTAGTAATAATAGTACTCGTGAATTTGGTTCGGATGCTATTAATAGCAATGATAATCACAGGTCTCTATATCGAGAATCATTATTAAATGATAATGAAGTTAGATCACCAAAACAAAATATTATATCTTGGGGTTGTTTACCGTCACCAATAACTGAGGTAAGTTTTATTTAATTTACACCAATGAATTACTTACCAAAGTAATCAATTTACTGGAAAAGTAATTTTTCTTTGAAAGGTTTGCAGTATGTTCCAATGCATTATTGATATAAACAAATACACTGGATTGTCAGAATGAGTTTTGTGGAGAGTTTTTGGAAATTTCATAGGTTGAAATCATGAGTCGATTGAAGTTGACCACCATAGAAAACCTGGAAGCACTGGACGGCCGCTTCGTCCTAGTATGGGACTCTTCAGCAGTGCACATCCACGATCACGCACCGCGCGGGGTCCGAACCCAGGACCTAATGGCTTCGCGCGCGAGCACTTAACCACTAGACCACTGAGCCGGCACCCAACGGTGTTAATATCTAACTTCAACCAATCCACGAAGTTGCGCAACTGTACAACATTGTCTTCAGTGAGTTGTTATCTCACAACAGACCTGGTTGAATTGGTTTATTTTTCTTGCATCGAGAAGGTTGATGTGATCTAAAAACTAAACTGATCAAGACTATGCGACGAAAAACTCCCATCACTTCAGTATTATTAATTGCTAAACAGTTTAGATGGCATCAAGTATTCGCTTATTCTAGATTAAAGAAGAAAGAACCGATTTTTATTGATTATCTGGTTAATCTATAACTGTTGTCTTTGAAACTTGGTGCCATATTTCGCGAAACTGTTTTTAAAATCGGAAAATATTCCAGATTTTTTTGGTGATGTGGTATTTTATCAGTAACCAAAAATCTATTTCCTTATTCAACACTAAGACAGATTAAAGATAGATTGCTAGAATGAATTTATCATTTGAAAACTGTTTATTGGTCGGAAACCCTGTTAAGAGATGATTGAGTATGAATATTTCACAAATACTAACTAACAAACCCGGATATTAGAAAAAGACTAAGCAAGTGATTGTTAATTCCTTATTTTTTAGAAAATAAAATACCTAACTTTAATTTTAAAATATCCAGCATAAAATAGACATGATTAAATTATTGTTTTGCATGGTATCAATACTGCGATCAAAAAATTAGTTAAGCTTAGAAGATTAGAGTCACATTTTGTCATAGCTTGTCGTTTGAATGCTTATTGTCTTGGCTCTTTTAATGCTACCTTTTGTATCTGGTTGTCGCTGATTGTTATGTCGGAAACGCTTATCACTTATACTTGGAACAAGGGACCTCTGCAAACAAATACTACATTGAGTAATCATTACAATGAATCAAAACGGAAGTAATCTTGAACAAAACTTATAATGAGTAAATCAATCGGAAATTGACTTTTCTTTCCATCATATCACATTTTAACTGACATATATAGAGAAATCTGCTTATTTATTAATTTTTCATTTTCTTCCTATGTGATTATCCCAGACAGAAATGATTTGATCTGTCTTTCTAGTACAAAGTATACCCTTTAATATTGTTCTTTTCTTTTAAGACGAATTAACTTCATTCCTGCGATTAAAAGAGTTATCATTTGTATATTTTAGTTTGGTTAAAATTTGTACGATACATTTAAACAAGGAATGAACATTTGAATGTGAAAATATTAGCCAGTAGGCATTCACAATACAAAAATATCCTACATTTTGAGGGTATATACACAAGTGAGTAGTAAGAATTGTATTACAACTGATTAATATCCTTTTTGTGAATGACACATGGAAACTGGCTAAATTTCGGTTGCATCAAGACAACCATTAAATTACAGCAGACTAACATCCGGAGACATCTATGAAGCTACTCATCATACTACTGTATTCTTCTAATTAAACAAGTCTATTAGTTGTATTTATCACTAAGAAGAAGAAAATACTTTTCTTACCATTTTTTCATTGATCTCCAAGACGTAGATAACAATAACCGATTTAATTATGTTATCGAATAAATTCCTAAATAACTTCATGATCAATAGAGTTTGACTTATTAAGACTAATAGATATTCATTACAAAATTTATACTCTGGTAACTAACCCAAAAATCACTAACATTTTAAATTATTACTATTTGTTTTCTAAAAAAAACAACAACATTTAACTGAAGTTACTTGGTTACTTTACTATCAACAGAATACATTCCTATTGATTACATAACAATATTTGACTAATGTATACTTAGGTATGTATATATCTACACAGATCATAACGCATAAAAGTATTCAATTGTTAAATGATTATTGATTTTTTTCTAATGTTTGTTTACATTTTGTTCACATGTTCTTGGATGTTAACTTGGCTTACAAATAAACAAAGGAAGAGGATGAGTGAATCAGAAAGAAAAAAAAAGAAGGTAAAATATTTACCTAATTTGAATATTAGATAACTGTCCATTATTTAAATAGATAGTCATGAATTATGTCGATGAAAAGAGAAAAAACAAAACTTCTATTTTGTCATCATAATTGGTTCAATGGAATGTAATTGAAAGTAAAATGTTATTACATAATCATATATTACTTTAATCAGATATCAGTAGAATAATGACTGATTGATTGACTACCTATCAGTAGTTTATATTATATTGACATGAGTTTTGCCGTTTACTTTGCTTTCAAGTATTTTCAGAATCATTGATTTCTCTTATTTTTTTTGGAATAAACATTAACGTTAACTTTTTTTAAACATTTAATTAATTGAATAGGCTTTTGCATAATAATTTGGACATTAATCTTACAGCACATACATAAAGTTACAAATTATGTGTTTAGCGGGATTACTTACTTACTTACTCCTGTCACTCCTAATGGAGCATAGGTCGCCGACCAGCATTCTCCAACTCACTCTGTCCTGGGCCTTCTTTAACGGGATTACCATTTGATAATGGTTAGAAAAAAGTCTACAATGCCAATTATTAAAACAAATAGTTATATGTCTATTTAACAAAGGTATTATTATAATGAATTGATTGAATATCTAAGGCACATCTTGTACTCGAAATCGAATGGAACCAAACAACATAATAATTTATAAATAATATACATAGAGAGGTGAGAGAACAGATATTTTATCCATCCAATTTAGTTCTCATATAGCTTGTTTTAAGATTTGCGTTTGTTTATGTAATTAACTGACTCCTTGTTAAGCAACGCTGTTGTTTTATGTGTGATGATGTCACAGTTTACCGTGATATGCCCAGAGATTCTAATCAACATCATGTACTATATTACCAGTTAGACCGGTGACCTATTTGTCAAAGTTACACAATGAATATCAATCAAGGCCATAACACTTATTGGTCCTAGAGCCCCTGCTAATCCATTTGCCAATAAGAAGATGAAGATAGGTGGCAGATTAATCCTCTCCTTTGCTTAGTGCAATAATGACTCAAAACTCATACAATTATTTATCGGAAATGCCTGACCACACAGAACACCAAATAAAAGATCACACTTTAAGGGCCATCATGCTATAAGTGTGGAGCGAACCGTACGTAATTAGAGGATAGTAAAACGTATAGCAACAGGCAGTAGGTCCACCGAAAGCTTACAATAAGGGCAATATAGATATAACCATACGGTTATTGACTGGTCATACAGTAAAGACATAATGAAAATAATTCAAAAAAATAGCCACAAAAGTTTCAACTTCCCTAATACTCGCTGCCTCATAACAGGATATACTTCTCACTAGAAGTAGTGTCAACTCGAACATAGTTCATTTTAACAAATCGAATACGAGTTTCTATGTTGATCGTCGACTAAATGTTGTTGAGTTATCACCAAGATATAAAATAATAGAAGCTGCAGAAGCCCCGTCGTATTTACGGCCTTAGAAATATTGGTTTTGAAATAAATTCATAACTTCTGTCAAAAAGCAAAAATATGCGGTGAAGAAAATATTGTTTTCGATTATTTCATTCTCAAAAACTGTACAATCCCACCTACGTAGGATAACAAAAGCCATCAATTAGTTTTGTATATATTCAAATAATGAGTGAAAACCATAGTGTTATGGAGTTTGTAATTGTTATTTTAGTTTAGAATCCGTTAGATTAACGTTTAAGTTACGTACACAGAATAGTCATAATCACCCAATCAATTATCAACATCGTAGGGGCTGATGAAAATATGTATCGTTTCAAATCACCTATGTTAGGAAATTAACCAGGTGAGACGGGAATGAATGGAAGTAATTGTTTTAGATAATTAAGTGGAATAAAATTGATCACGAAACGTTCCTCAAATTACAAGAACTATTTATGTAAAATACAGAATTTTTAAATCATGGAATGTGATTTAATTTTCACAACTTTGAAAGCTAATCGTCATTATGAAAAAAAGCGTCGTGAAACTAAAGCTTGGGAGGAAAATAAATAGTTGTCACTTCTACGACTCTTGAAGAGTTTAAAGGTTAGAGTAGAACTGAAGAACTTATAACACTATGACTAACAAATTTTCCTTCAATTATTGATAGCATTCACCAACATCAACATCCGTGGCGTATTTTAGTGTGAAGAAACAAAGTATTATCAAATAGACATTCACAAGTACTTTGGTAGATGCAGCTTTAACAGTTGGTGCATGAGGACATAATCATTATCATCGTGAAATAAGTGTAACTGAAGGATATCACTAACGTGTGACAACGAAATACCTAAGCATGTATATAGAAAAATAGGGATATGATTAAAATTAATATTCTAACTGGATAGAATCAAGAGATTGTTAAACCAGTGATTTTCGAAGCTGTTTTCGTACATAAAGTGATGGGTAGAATGAATTGGTCACCTCTATAAATATTTCTAATTTAAAGGAATAATTTTGGAGATCCTACGTAAACGTTGAATTTCTCTAGAAAGATAATGAAGACTCGACGAATAAACCATCGTTTGTTTTGGATTAGTTGAGGATAAGAAAAAAAAGAAGACTTAGTATGGTGGGATAGTTAAGTTATTGCTGTATTATATCTTCATCAACCTCATAGTATGTAACATTCCCAAGCTAATTAATTCACGTAACGCAACACAAAGGAATCAAATAGACCACAGTGAGTGGCAAGTAAAACAACATATATATATATATATTACTGTTAGTTACGTGTATTATCTTGACTAGCCATCAAATAATATATATAGGTAATGGTAACCGATGGTTCTATAGTCCTTTTAAAAACAGCACGGATATTGACGTACACTTTAAGCTATATTGGATTTTTTTCAAATGGCTAGAATTACCGGTTTCTAACGGCTACACAACATTTCTGCTATGTCCTGATAAGCATAGTGAATGGTAACTTTAGGGATCCATTTATGGACCAATACTATGCGCATATTTTTATCGTATAATTGTTAATTAATTAAACTATTCATATCTCTCTTATCATAAGCTCTATTTTAACCTATAAACTGTTATTATACGATTTACCATCCTTGAATTATCCCGTCTATTAATCACTACCTCTCACACTCAGAGCCACATTTGGCTAATACTTGTACAAATGTTGTTTCATATTTTATGGTACGGTATGGTGTCTGGTTAGTATATAAACCCAGTATGTTTGAAATAAATTAATCATACTGCAGAGGCTGAGATTGGAGTTGTGGACTTAACAGGCTGCGCTAGGCGGGAAGCAGGATTGATAAGGACTCTAGGCTGCTCGCACTTGTTTTACGCATCATTGGTCCAATCGGTAATTCGCTGCTCTCTGATTGGCGGTATCGTTACGTCATACATTAACAGGGCACTCGGGTCACAAGTTATAAAAACTTCTTTAATCACCTTTCGCCTTAATTAATAGATTTCAAGGAAAAACACTGTAAAACATTTTTGGTGTTTAAAGAAATTTTATTATTCATCATTAACCTATAGGGAAATATTATAACATTGATTTTGCAAAGTAGATGGATTCAACGATAATTATATACATAAGAAAAGAAAATGAAGTTGAAAATGATTCTTTTTATAAAAATATCAAACAAAAAGAACTAGATCCAATTTGGACTGAATGAAATTTCAGATGATCAAAACATTCTTACTGAACTGAGAAAGTGTGAGAGAGAAAAAAAGGAGATGGAAATTTCTAGCGAAAAATAAAATTATTCAACTGGTTTTTTGCACAAAGCATAATTAATATAAACTAGGCTGTTCATTTCGTAGTTCGTTCTTATTGTTTTGACAATGTTCTTGAAGAAGTTGTAATACATCTGTTTGAAAATATTTCGGGGCTTCTTTTGCCTCTTTTAAACGATACATGTAAAAAAAAAAGAGTAGGTGATAATTTAGAAAAGAAATGTAACAGTTTTGAAATATTATATAACTTTAATCCAATTACTAATACACATTACAGATAAAAAATTAAAAAGTTGTTTACATCCAATGTATGGATGAGAAAAAGAGAAAGTTAGGGATATCTCGTAAATATCGAAATCAGCTGTAGAAAAGAGGATTTTAATTAAATAAGATGTATATCATTATTATATGCAGTCTTGAGTAGCAACAACGCTGTAATTTGTAACCGTTGCTAATAATGATATTAACATTGTACGTGTTGAACAAATTAGTCGACTTCTCGTCTGAGCAGTCCAGTGGATAAAGTGTTGGTGCTTAAAGTGAAAGGTTCTGGGTTCGAGTCTCAATGTGAACATGAATATTCGGATACAAGTACGTCAAGCTGATGAGAACTAAATGGAATGAAACGCGGATCTTGGATTTCACTCCTGACCACGTTCCACCAATTCTAAATACATGAGGTATAACTTTGAATGACGATATAACCAGTGCTTGGAAATAAAGTTGAGGATATTTAACAATAATGCCTTAGTCTGACAAAGTATGAATAAGTGCTTGTGATTCTACATATTTCCTAGTAGAAAATATTTCTGAAATTATTTCTCACAAAAGGTGTTAGTCAGCTTACGTCAATATCACTAAAATGGAGAGTGAGGATTAAGGATAATAGTCTGTTGTTCTCGTCAGTGACTGAAAAAACTAACAAACAATGTGCACAATCAACAATATACTGATAAAGTCTTTTTCAATGAAATAAAATAGCGAAAAATCAATGGAATAAACAAACACTGTCAGTGTCTGCTGGAATTTACTAATCAGGTAATAAACGCTACAGCTAACCCTGTCAGTCACATTTCTGACTTACCTTCTAAAAGAAGTAGATTAGAGTTTAAGAAGAGTGAGCATAAGTCTCATTTATGCTTCGGATATATTTTGTTGCTTAAATGCTATGAAAAATGCTAATAACTAAATCAAGTAAAATAAAGACTAATTTTAGTCTCGTTTTACACAAAATTCTGCTTGTAGCCCTTCTAGTGTTACTACCAATCTTAAGCTCGAGTAAAGGAAGAAGGTTGGGCATGAGATTAGGAATACCAGCAAATGCAAAATAAACCTTGATTACGAGAAAAATGCTAACCACAAAAATTTGCTTACATAAAAAATTAAATATATGACAAATAAGAATTTCAAGAAAAACATGACTTACTTGTAATCCAATAGTAAATGTCCCATTCATTGTCTGGTAGATTGATTAAACTATCATATGCAATAAGTTGTTCATGAGTCATTGAATTCAGGTATTTAGCAGCAAATGTACTATATGAAAATTACCCAAAAAATAATTATATTAAAAATCATGAAAAAGCCAAACCATATTAAAACACAAATTATTAGAAATTAATAATTAATACATATATCTAATGATAACATATTGGTTATCTCTTTACA